TAACTGTGACAGGACAGGCTGTGGACTCTCTAAGGGAGGAGGAGGGCCAGTAGAAGGCGGGAGACCAAGAACCTGCTGAAGGAGCGGAACGAAGTACGGCCGAGGCCGCGCGGCGACTCCAGACACAGCAGGGACAGCACCAGTACCCCAAGCGGCAGCACCAGCGCCAGCAGCAACTCCAGCTCCAGTACCTCCAGCAGCACCAGTAGCACCCCCAGCAGGCCCGCCTCCAGGACCGACAGCAGTAGCCTCAGCGTCAACACCCTCAGCAGCTCCAGCTCCAGTCGTACCCGCAGGCCCAGCAGCTCCAGTACTCCCAGTACGAGCACCTCCAGGACCCGCGGCACCAGCACCCTCAATAGCCGAAGAACCTCCAGCTCCAACAGCACGCCTCCAGCGCCGGGCAAACCACTCGCGCAGCTCCTGTGGAGAGAGTGGCTCCCGCCGAGACGAAGCACCCGGAGAACCTCCAGGCTCAGCACCGCCAGACGCCACACAAGCAGGCCCAGCTCCCTCAGGCTCCACACCCCCAGGCCCAGCACCTCCAGGCGTAGCACCCCCAGGCTCAGCACCCCCAGGCTCAGCACCCCCAGTAGTAGCACCCTCAGGCTCAGCACCCCCAGGCTCAGCACCCCCAGTAGTAGCACCCTCAGGCTCAGCACCCCCAGGTGTAGCACCCACACGCTCAGCACCCCCAGAGTCAGCACCCCCAGGCTCAGCACCCTCAGCAGCACCAGAGTCACCAGTAACCTCGACAGGCTCGACTGCGTCTACCTGGGACACACCTGAAGGGGCAGGACCCTGAGGGGGGAGGGGGTCTACCGGGGGGGGACCTGGCACAAGGAAGAGCGGTGGTGGGGGGAGGGACGGAGTGCGGTAGGGGAAGAGGCGGTAGTAGGGGACCGACTCGTCAAACGTGACGTCCTGGGAGGACAGAACACGGCGAGAGGTGGGGTGGTAGAACTGCCACCCTGGCGCGTCAGGGGTGAAGCCAAGGAAGACGCAAGGAGCAGCACGAGGGGACAGCTTGTCCGCAGACAAGTCGCGGACAAACGCCCAAGATCCCCAGACACGGAACGCAGACGCATCGCCAACCTTCCCCGTCCACAGCAAAGCAGGGGAGGTCTCCGGTCTGGAGACCCTAGGGTGAAGGTTGATCTGATGCGCCGCGTACCGAACCGCAAACGGCCACAGAATGGGGGGCAGCCGCATGCATCATGGACGTACAGGCGACGTCCATGACCATGCCAATGCGGCGCTCAGCAATCCCATTTTGCTGTGGAGAGTCCGGAAGCGTGAAGGTCTGGCGGATGCCTCGTGCTCGACAGTAGGCTCGCAGAAGGCCAGAGGAGAACTCTCCACCTCTGTCAGAGTGCAGACGCAGAACAGGAAAGTCCGAACCGAAGCTCTGCCTGAGCTGGAGACGAGCTGCGCGGATCCAGTCGATCAACACCTCAGTGACATCACCCTTGCTGCGCAAGGGGAAGACTGTGGTGTAACGCGAGTAGTCGTCAACCACCAGCAGGAAGTAGCGCTCGTGACCCTGTCCACGGACGCGGGCCGGGCCCCACACGTCCATGTGAAGCGTCTGCAGCGGGGCCTCTGTCGGAGGAAACTGGGAGGAGTGAGGGGCAGCCCGCTGCCGCCCCTCGACACAGGGGACGCAGGTAGGGCCAGGCCCCGGAGGAAGGGGAGGGAGGGACCGGGGAAGACCAGAGACAAGGACACGGGAGGCCATGCCTCGGAGACGAAGCAGGGAGGGGTGACCAAGGCGGTGGTGCCAGAGGAGAGTCTCGTGAGACAGGAGGCGACACGAACAGGGGGCAGACTCAGGACCAGACCTGGACGCTGCAGCAAACACCTGACCTGACGCAGCTACCTGACCAGACGCAGTGACTGGAGGAGACGCAGTGGTCAGGGTGTACAGGCTCGACCCCGGCCGACGGGTAAACGTGGCCAGGTGTCGGCCAGTCCGAGCGTCCGTGCAGTGGGTCACCCGCTGACTCCCAGGAGTGAACTGGTGAACCCCCGCATCCTGTAGGTCAGCACCACTCACCAAGTTCGTAGAGAACGAGGGGAGGTAAAGACCAGACAGGGTGCCAGAGGGGGCCGCCGGACACGGGAGGACAGTGGAGAAGTGAGCAAGGACAGGACCCCCAGAGGGGTCTGCCAGAGAGACTGCAACTGGCCGGCCAAGCGGCGTGAGTGTGGTGCGGTCTCGAAAGAAGGAGCGAGAAGCCCCCGAGTCAAGGGTGAAGGTGTGGGAGGCCGAGGCCGACGCAGAACCTGAGAGAGCAGACTCACCAGCACCTGAGGGAGCAGACGCACCTAGAGCAGCAGCCTCGCTAGCACCTAGAGCAGCAGCCTCACCAGTACCTAGAGCAGCAGTCTCAATGCCCGGGTCGGGCGGAAAACACCGGTAACAGTCACCCTCATCACTAATAGTCACAGTATACATGGCAGCAAGAATAGCATCAAAGTCAAGGTCAAAGACAGCCACACCCACCCTAGACAGCTCACCCCAGCGGGGGATCTCAGTGGCCTCAGGGAACTGGTGACGCCCAGCGTCCGTCAGGCGGCCAAAGCAGCGCTGGGTGGAGTGCGCACCCCCGCACTGCTCACCCGCGCGGTCGCCGGTGCGGAGGACGTAGGTGCACGGACCAGTACCCCCACCCCTCTGGCGTGCAGCGTACCACTCACGGAGCTGCTGAGGGGAGGGGATGTCACGAGTGCGCTGCTGCTGCTGCTGCTGCTGCTGCTGGCGCTGACCACCACCGGAGCCGACTCTCTGCGCAGCGCCACCCGACCAGCTCCACCTCCTCCGCCGCCTCCTCCTCCACCGCCGCCACCTCCGCTCCCACCGCCACCGCCGCCGCCGCCTCCGCCTCCACTGCCACCACCGACACCTCCACCCCCGCCACCACCCCCACCGCCACCCCCACCCCCTCCACCGCCTCCACCGCCGCCTCCACCGCCCCCGCTAGCTCCTCCAGTGCCCCTGCCCCCCTTGCCTTTGCCAGGGCGGCGTCTCCCGCTAGGGGTAGACGCCGCACCGACCGACTCAAGCCCAACGAGGTCGGCCGCAGCAGCAGAGGCAACAGAGGGCAAAAGGGGGGAGGGGGAACACCCCTCAAAGATGGGGGTGCGAGGGTCACCACGAGAGGCTCCTACAGCTACTATGCTCTTCTCTGCTGCTAGGAGGGACTTCTCGAGGAGGTCAACGGTGAGAGTGGTGGGGCAAACAGAGAGGAAGTGGTCCCTGACTACGCGAAGGGAGTCAGGGAGCCGGGTGACTATGTAGTAGAGGGTGATGTACATGGGGGGGGGGTTCTTGGCGCAGAACTCTGCAGGAAGCGCAGCGCGGTAGCGAGTGTCACTAGTGCGGAGGTGCGTAATGAGGTCAGCGACTGTGGGAAAGGCAGCAAGGTCAGGGAAGAGGTACGGTAGCATGAGGCGGCTAAGTGCAGCAGTGGCAGGGGAGGAGTAGCGCGCAACTACAGCGTCGTACAAGGTCTGAGCACTCTTGTACTGGCTAAAGTGCGCACGCTCAGAGGTAGGTAGGTGGCGACGCACAGCAAGACGTGCAGCAGCATCGCGCGTGGCCCACTGGGAGCGAACAGTGGCGTCAGCAGCAGCAGCGGGGGCAGGAGAGGCACCAGAAGTGAGGTCAAAGAGGGAGAGGCCGTCTGCCCTGTCGCACTGTAAGAAAAGCTGCAGGTCATCTATCTAGACGTCAAAGTCAATGGCCCGACCCTCAGCGTCAAAAGCGAGGACACTAGGGGTAGCCATGACAGCAGTAGACTAGCAGCGCAAACAGTAGGGTGAGGGCAGTGCTGTGAAAGGGGCGCTGCTCTTACCGGACAAGGCGGCTCGGGTGGCTCGGCTGTAGGGCGGCTCGGCGGCTCGGTTGCTGGGCGGCTCGGCGGCTCGGCGGCTCGGCTGCTGGGCGGCTCGGCGGCTCGGCTGCTGGGCGGCTCGGCTGCTGGGCGGCTCGGCTGCTGGGCGGCTCGGCTGCTGGGCGGCTCGGCAGCTGGGCGGCTTGGCTGCTGGGCGGCTCGGCGGGGCCGCTGAGAGGGCGGCGTCCGGGGCCGCTGGGAGGAGGCGGCGGGGCCGCTGAGAGGAGGCGGCGGGGCCGCAAAGGTAGGTGGCGGGGCCGCAGGTAGGTGGCGGGGCCGCTAGTAGGTGGCGGGGCCGCATGTAGGTGGCGGGGCCGCTGGTAGATGGCGGGGCCGCACAGGCAAGTGGCGGGGCCGCGGAGGTAGGTGGCGGGGCCACACAGGTAGGTGGCGGGGCCGCGGAGGTAGGTGGCGGGGCCGCACAGTGAGGTGGCGGGGCCGCGAAGGTAGGTGGCAGGGCCGCACAGTGAGGTGGCGGGGCCGCGGAGGTAGGTGGCGGGGCCGCACAGTTAGGTGGCGGGGCCGCGAAGGTAGGTGGCGGGGCCGCACAGGTAGGTGGCGGGGCCGCGGAGGTAGGTGGCGGGGCCGCACAGTTAGGTGGCGGGGCCGCGAAGGTAGGTGGCGGGGCCGCACAGGTAGGTGGCGGGGCCGCGGAGGTAGGTGGCGGGGCCGCACAGGTAGGTGGCGGGGCCGCGAAGGTAGGTGGCGGGGCCGCGTAAGGTGGCGATGGGCGCGACGGGCGCGACGGGCGCGACGGGCGCGACGGGCGCGACGGGCGCGACGGGCGCGACAGGCGCGACGGGCCGAAAGGGCGGCGCGAAGGGCCGTAGGGGCGGCGCGACTCGGGCCGGAGCAAAACGCGCTCCGGGCAGGAAAAAAAATATTTTCGTGGTGGTGGGCCCTAGGAATCGTTCCCACTAGGGAACCTGCTCGATACCATGAGAAGAAACGAGGAATGGAATGACTAAGTGAAAGTTGGGTACAAAAAGCAAACCCTAGAAAACTGTACCCCATATGTGCCACCCCACTATAGCCTACAGTAGCTATGTCATATAAATCTGACAAGTGCAACTTTTTCGACCCTACCTAACTCTCTCGCCATCCATGGCTCCTCTCATCTTAACATGGTATTCAGAGCGTAGTCCTAGGCGTTTCATACTTATCCGTATTTCTTAGATAATCTCCGGCCCTTAGGCCATTTCCGTGCTACTTAGCTAGACGTTTTTTTTATTATCTCCTTTCTTTCCCGTCACTCTTAACAATCGCATTTTTTGTCACATTATACTCTCGCGGATCCCTCAATCCAGTCCGTAGCGCGTCGCCATACCACCCTTATCATTCTCCCGCGCCTTCCCATTCGTCGCGCCTCCTTCTCCTCCCGTTTCTGACGGTCGCGCGCCCATTTCCGCCCAAAGCGCGCTCTGCCGTCCCCCCCTTTCCCCCGTCCCGTTGCACGCGCATTGCGCTCCCGCAGCCGCGCGCGCTAAGCACCGTCCAGCAGCGTGCGCGCCTGCCCTTCCTTGCGGCGCGCTCTGCCCTTCTTCAATCCGCCCCTTCCCTCACCCTCCTCCTCCTTCCCTCTCTCTTTTGTGCTCCCCCCCACTACCTCACCTCTTCCTCCTATTTTCTCTCCCCATTTGCTGCGGCTCGCAGCTCCTTGTGGCGCGCCCTGCCCTTCCCACAATCCGCCCCTTCACCCTCCTCCTCCTCTCCTCTCTCCCACTAGTTCCCTCTCCACTATCTCACCCCTCCTCCACCTCTTTCCTCTCTTCATCTGCTGCAGCTGGTAGGTGATTGTGTTGTGTAGCTGTTGTTCCTCCACACCTTCCCTCCTCCTCAACATCCTCCTCTGAACTGCTCAACTGCAAACTCTTCACAATTCTCCCTCCTCCTCTTGTTTCTCCCTTCAGCGGCACAGCAGCAGACTTCTCCGCCGCTATCCCTCCTCCTCTTGTTTCTCCCCTCATCGGCGCAGCAGCAGACTACTCCGCCATTTTCCCTCCTCCTCTGGTTTCTCCCCTCATCGGCGCAGCAGCAGACTACTCTGCCATTTTCCCTCCTCCTCTGGTTTCTCCCCACATCGGCTCAGCAGCAGACTACTTCGCCATTTTCCTTCCTCCTCTGGTTTCTCCTCGCATCGGCTCAGCAGCAGACTACCCCGCCACTGTCCCTCCTCCTCTTGTTTCTCCCCTCAGCGGCTCAGCAGCAGACTACCCCGCCCTTATTCCTCCGCCTCTTATACCTCTCCCCACATCTGCTCTGCAGCTGTTTCCTCCTCCTCATGGCGACCTCTCTCGCCCTCCCCTCCCTCCCTCTGCTGGTCCTTCAGCTTGCGCCCGATGGCAGTGCAGTCAACTTCCCCAGTTGGCTGAACTGTCTTGAGCGCACGCTGTCTGGCACCCTAGTGAGTGGCTTTAACCTTTGGTTTGTCACTCAGCAGAGTGGTTCTGGCGCCATTCCTACCTCTCCCTCTGCACCCACCTCTTCCTCCTCTGACCCCTATGCTGATGGCCTCCGTGCTGCCATTGCTGAAACTGAGCGGCTTGTGGCCACGGCGCAAGCCACCGCCACGGCTACTCCTGCCAATGCTGCTGCCCGTGACTTAGCTCGTATTCTTGCTGAGTCCCTCGAGAGCACCCGCAAGCGCCTCACTGAGCACCTCGCTGCCCCTTCTCCTCGCTCTGCCTCTACGCCCCTTTCCTCTGCTCCATCTCACTCTGACCTTCTCGCTGACTGGCATGTTGCCAACGCACGTGCCTGTCAGGTCATCCTTGCTTGCCTCCCTCCAACTCTTCTCCCTCAGTGCTCGCACATCCGCTATGCCAAGGACCTTCTCGGCTATCTCACCGAGCGCTTTCAGTCACAGACTCCCATCAGCGTCATTGCCCTCTTACGCGAGCTCACCTCTCTTCGTCTTGCTGACTTTACCACCATGGCAGACTACATCGCTCGTGTGCAGACGCTGTCCTCCCAACTTGCCGCTCAACAGTTTGAACTTTCCGATCATGTCTGCGGTGCCCTCCTCCTCACAGGCCTCACTCCTGAATACAGTGTTCATGTCACCTTGTATGGTGAGCGCCCCGCCGACCAGTGGTCGTTCTCCCGTGTCTCTGCCTTCCTCCTCCAGGCTGAGCTCAACCTCCGCAGCTGCCCTCCTACTGCCGCTGCTGTCACACCCTCTTCTGCCCCTCCTCCTCTCTCCACCACCACTGCCGCCGCTGCTTCCTCTCGCCCTCGCAACACCTTTCCTCCTTGCACCTACATCATTCGCCAGGGGCCCCGCAAGGGTCAGCCCTGCGGTCGCACCAATCATCCCACCTCCTCCTGCTTCCAGAAGCTCACCGATGACTGGTTCCTAGCTGGCAACACTGGTCGCCCTCCCAACTGGCTCCAACTCTCTCGTCAGCGTCGCCAGTCCTCTGCTCAGGCGGTCCTTGCGGCCGCCGACTCTGGTGCAGGTGCTCAGACCTCTGCTCTCAGTGTGACTATGCCTAGTCAGGATAGCATTCTGGGGGCTTCTCCCCTTATGGACCCTCGTTTGGCCATGATGTTCGCTCCTTCTGTTAATGGCAATGATTCTCAGTATCTTGGTCCCACAGCTGCTGCTCTTTCCCTCCCTCGCACTCTTGAGATTGTTCTTGACAGTGGTGCTACTGACTCTGTCTTTCGTGATGCTGGTGTGATTCGCTCTTTTCCCCGTCCCCTCTCCATTCAAGGGGCTGGGGATACCATGACCATGACTTGCACCGCTACCTCTTCTCTTCCCTGTCCTGCCTCCCCCTCTGGTGCTGTGACTGGCCTCTATGTTCCTTCATGCCGCCACAACCTTCTTTCTATCTGCTCTTCAACGTCTTTGTGTGCGAGCTATCTTTCCTGAATGTGACTCCTACTGTGATCTCTATCACCGCAACCGCCATCTTGCACGCTTCACTCTTTCTCCTATCACTCGCCTCTACACTCTTCGTGTCTCTCTTCCCCCTTCTGCCCATCATGCCTCTTCCGCTTCCGCCCCTTCCGTTCCCTCCTGCGACTGTCGCTCTCTTACTCAACCTACCCTTCTCCTTCATCATCGACTTGGCCACCCCAACTTTCCCCTTCTTCGCAGTATGGTCTCTTCTAAGCTTCTTCATGGCCTCCCTCCCTCTCTCCCCCCCCTTCCTCCCTCTCCTGCTCCTCCATGCACCCCACGTGTCCAGGCCAAACTCTCCCAGTCACCTCATCCCTCTTCTCCCTATGCCTCTCCCCAACCCCTTGACCTTGTTCATATGGACCTCTGGGGTCCCTCACCTACTGCTTCTCGTCAGGGTCATCGATATTTTCTGCTTTTGGTTGATGACCACTCACGCTTTGCAACTGTCTATCCCCTCCGTGCCAAATCTGACGCTCCCTCCCTCATCATTCGCTGGGCTGAGCAAGCCCGTCTACGTTTTAAGCGTCCTGTCGCGCGCTTCCATTCCGATGGTGGTGGCGAATTCTTTAATCACTCCCTCTCCTCTTACTGTGCCTCTCATGGCATTCGCCAGACCTCCACTCTTCCTCACTCCCCAGAGCAGAATGGGGTTGCTGAGCGTCGCAATCGCACTCTCATGGAAATTACTCGCTGCCTTCTCACCCATGCCTCTGCTCCCCACTCTCTTTGGAGCTATGCTCTTCTCCATGCCACTTTACTCTCTAACCTCCGCCCTCATCCTCTTCGCCCCACTACCACCCCCTTCCAGCTCTGGACTGGCCGACAACCCTCTGTCCGCCCTCTTCGGGTATGGGGTAAATCCAGCAGACCGATCTCGTCTGGGTGGGAAGCTCGCTCCCAAGACGCAACTCTGTGCATTCCTTGGCATCAACTCTGATTGTCCTGGTTATCTTTTCTACGCCCCCTCCTCTCACCAACTCATCCGCATCCAGGACGTCATTTTCGATGAGACCCACTCTCCATTCCATTCTCCCCCACTCGCCCCTCCTGTCCCTTCTCTTCACTGGTCTGATTTCGATCAACCGTCGTCTGTACTCCCCTCCCCCCCCTCCCCCCGCACCAGCCTCTACTGCCCCCCCTTCCGACATCATCTCTGGCGCCTCCCCACCCGCCTCTTCTTCTTCGGCTCCCCTCCCTTCCTCACCTCCATCTTCCTCTCAACCCCCTTCGCCCGTTCCCATCCCTCCCCCTTCCCCGCGCCTTACTCGCTCCATGACTCGCGCCCTTTCTAATTTTCAGCACTCTGCCCTTTTCACTCGTCTATCTCCATCCCATGATGTGAATCTTCTTGAAGATCGCTTTGAGGAACTTTTCACCATTCATCTTGTTTCTCCTCTCCTATGTGTCACTGTCGGTGACTTTAGCAATTCTCCCACTCTTCTCTCTGTTGACACCGCTATCATTCCCACCCCTCAGTCCTACTCCGAGGCCGTGTCGGGCTTTCATGCCACTGAGTGGATGGCTGCCATCATTGCTGAGTGTGAGGCATTTACCAGAACTAAATCCTACATTGACTCTGTCCCCCCCCCTGGCGCCACCATTGTCAAGGGCAAATGGGTCTTCCGTGTCCAGCAGCTGCCCGGCGAACTTCCTGTCTTCAAAGCCCGCTACTGCGCCAAGGGCTTCACTCAGCGTGAAGGCATTGACTACTTTGCCACTTACTCCCCCACAGCCCGTCTCCCCACTCTCCGCCTCCTTCTTGACTTAGGTGCTCGCTGGAATTGGGAGATCCATTCCATGGACTTTTCCAATGCTTTCCTTCAGGGCGAGCTGCATGAGCGCATATTCCTTGAGCGTCCTGCTGGCTTTCCTCGCCCTTTCCCTCCAAGCACTGTTTGGGAATTAAAGCGACCTGTGTATGGCCTTAAACAGGCCCCGCGCGAGTGGCACGCCAAGCTCGCCTCTACCCTTCACTCTCTTGGCTTCTCTACCTCCACCTCCGACCCCAGTCTTTTCATTCGCACTTCCCCCCACAGACTCTACATTCTTGCCTACGTGGACGATTTGGTGCTGCTTGCTGAGGACTCCGCCGATCTTGCTGCTGTCAAGAAAGCCCTGCAGGCGCGTCTCCTGTGCAAGGATCTTGGCGAGCTTCGTCACTACCTCGACATGGAGATCCGTCGTGATCGTGCTGCTCGCACCATCTCTCTCTCCCAGTCTTTCTACATCCAGTCCATCCTCCAGCGGTTCGAGATGTCGCAGGCCAAGCCGGTCTCCACCCCTCTTCCCGCTAACCATCAGCTCACTGCCCCTGCCGTCCCTGCTCCCTCCTCTGAGCTGCGGCCTTATCCTGAGCTCGTTGGGTCTCTTATGTATGCTATGATGTGCACTCGCCCCGACCTTGCTTACCCCCTCAGTGTTCTCTCTCGCTTTGTTGGTCTAGGCCGCCACACTGACGTGCACTGGGCGGCTGCTAAGCGCATGCTGCGTTATCTGCGCGCAACCTCTGACCTTGCTCTCACTCTTGGTGGCTCTGTTCCTCCCATTCTCTCCGGCTACAGTGACTCTTCCTACGCTGACTCTCGCCCTGATCGCCGCTCATCTTAGGGCTATGGTTTTACTCTTGGCAGTGGTCTCATCAGCTGGCGCTCCACTCGCTCATCCTCTGTCTGCCTTTCCACCTGCGAGGCTGAGTTGTACGCAGGCACCTTGGCAGCTCAGGAGGCTCGCTGGCTCTCATTTCTCCTTGCTGAGCTTGGTCACTCTCAGTCCTCTGTGACGCTCTCCTGTGACAGTGCGAGCATGATTCATCTCACTGAAAATCCTGTCTATCACGCCCGCAGCAAGCATATTGAGGTCCGCTATTTTTTCGTGCGCGAGCTGGTGCAGTCTGGCTTCTTACGTCTTCGCAAGGTGGACGCTGCTGCCAACCTTGCTGACATTTTCACCAAGGCCCTCCTGCGTGCGCCACACCGTTTCTACGTGCGCGAGCTTGGGCTCACGCGTCTCTCCACTTCTGGGGGTGTGCCGGTTCGCTAGGTGTTTTGCTCCAGAGCTTCACCTAGCCTGGGGGTGGGTTGGAGTAGGCTAGAGCTCGCTCTGGTCTTTATTTTGGTGTTCTTATATTATTTCTCCATGCTTAGAGAGAGTTACGCAATCAGGTTCATTTTAGGTTCATTTCGTAGTTCTTAGTACAAACCGAACACACCCTAGGTTCAATTAGGGTTTCCAACCCTCTCTTTTGTATCTCGACATTTTCTTCCTAGTGCAACTTTTTCAACCCTACCTAACTCTTTCGCCATCCATGGCTCCTCTCATCTTAACAGATACTACTTTTCCTGATAAGGCTAAAAATACTATGTCACTTTGGAAAATCAGCGTTGTATACAATATATATAAATATATATATATATTAGGTTCCTAGAACAAATCATTCAAAAATAAGGGTGCAATAAGCACCCCACACTTATAGTAAGGGTTGTAAGGGTGATCTACCTTAATATCCAGAGGCCTGCTCTCGGTGTAACGTATTGCCTATCTCCCTAGAGCAACTTTACTCTCCTAATGCATTCGTCTAGATATGTCTCGATAGAAATTGGGCTACGGGAAGTTGAAGGTTGGGTTGGGAGAGAAGGTTGGGTTGGGATCTCCAAACCTCAACCAATAGGATTGGGAAACTACAACCCATCAAAGTGGAATGTTGAAGGTTGGATTTCCAACCAATCAGAAATTGCCAATTCAATGTAACAATCTACTCTATCTTAAAAGCTACCATTCAATGGTTCTAAATTGGGTTTTCCAACCCAACCTAATTGCCACATAGGCTCCAAGCTTAGGAACCATCCCTCCATGGAATCCATGGTTGGGAAAGTTCCCCAAGGGGTGTATTAAGGGGGTTTGAGCTAGCAAGCTCATTCTTCACCTCCCACTCCAACTAATCAATTGGAAATGAGATTACTTGGCAAAGTGTCCTTTTAGCTCTCTCACAAGCTTCCCTACACTACTACTTCATGTGAAAGTTTAAAAGGAAGAAGAGGAGAGTTGCACTAGCAAGAATGAGGATACAAATAGCAAACCCTAGAAGGGTTGTACTCGCTATAGAGCACCCCACTACAGGCTAGAGCATAATATTCTGACACACCCCCATAGCCAAAGTGGGGTGTAATCAGCAGAGCAAGCAAAGCAGTACAAGCTCAGGGTGGATCACAATGTCACCACACATTCTGAGCACAAGTTCAAGAAGCAATAGTTTAAAGTTCACAATTATGAGCAAAGCTAGTGGTAGTCACAACGGGCAAGTGAGGAGGAGGAAAGAGACTATGAGAGGAGAGGAGGTAGTGGGCGGCAGCTGAAGCTGCTGGCACACGGCGCAACTGGAGCAACTGGCACACGGGCAACTGGAGCAACTGGCACACTGGCAACTGGAGCAACTGGCACACGGGCTACTGGAGTAACTGGCTCCGCGGCTAAAAGTAGCGGCAGACGAGCAACGGACTCACGGGCGACTGGAGCAACGGGCTCACGGGCGACTGGCGCAACGGGCTCACGGGCGACTGGCGCAACGGTCTCACGGGCGACTGGAGCTGCTGGCTTCACGGCGGCCACCCCCTTCAACCTCCCCAAACTATCCCACTCCCCCTGACACACACCCGCTGCTACACCGCTAGCTCCACTCCCCCTTCACCCCCCCTTAGTACCACTCCAACGGCTCCAACAAGTCCACCCCCCCTCAGCGGCAGCTGCAGCACAGGGAGACGGAGGAGGAGGAGGAGCAGGGAACGGCACATAGTGGCTTCACCCCCATACCCCTCACCCCCAAACCCTAATTCAGGAGAACGGGCTGTAGGAGGGGTGGGGCGCCAGTAGAAGCACGGGGGACAGCGGGGAGGGCAGGGGCAGCGAGGAAAGGGCCGCCCACGGGCCTGGCACAGCCGCCCGAACCGCGCGCAGGCGGCCCGAGCCGCGCGCGGGCCTGGCGCAGCCCGTACGGGCCACGCGCGGGCCTGGCCCAGCCCGTACGGGCCGTGCGCTGGCCTGGCGCAGCCCGTACGGGCCGCGTCCGGGCCTGGCGCAGCCCTTACGGGCCGCGCGCAGCCTGTACGGGCCGCGCGCAGGCCACGACGGGCGACGCGCGGGTCCCCGTCGCCCGTCGCAGCGCCTCCCGAGGGCGACGCGCCGAGTGACGGGGCAGAAGCCCGCCGCGCGCCTCGGGGCGCACAGCGGGCAGAGAACCGCCGCGCGCCACGGGGCGCACGGCGGGCAGAAAACCGCCGCGCGCCTCGGGGCGCACGGCGGGAAGAAAAACTGCCGCACGCCACGGGGCGTGCGGCACAGAGGGTAGCAGTGGAAGTTGCAGCGGAAGCAACGAGGTGGTGAGCCCACCCACAGGATCGATCCAAGGGGATCGACCTGCTTTGATAGCATGTGAAAGTTTAAAAGGAAGAAGAGGAGGGTTGCACTAGCAAGAATGAGGATACAAATAGCAAACCCTAGAAGGGTTGTACTCGCTATAGAGCACCCCACTACAGGCTAGAGCATAATATTCTGACACTTCAAGTGCTTCCTATGAAAAGGCTTTAACAAGACTCTCATCTCCAAGGCTATTAGGAGAGGCTAGCTATAGCTACTCTTTTGTACTGGGATCATTATCATAGCCTTGGGCATTCCATTCGTATGCGCCAAGTGACAGCGCGTCGCAAGCTGCAGCAAACGCCAAACCTGTGATACCACTGATAAGTCCATCGTCGCTGTTCCCCGCCGTCGACGCGCCAACAAGGAATCGGCAACAAAGATCATACACTACACAGAATTAGCTCGCTGATGCTGACTTCGACATTAGTCGTGATGCGAAGCAAAGTCGTTGGGGAAGGAGACAAAGAAGACGAAGGCGACAAAGACAAAGACAACGAGTCCGCAGGGGAAGAAGAAGAAGAAGAAGAAGAAGAAGAAGAAGAAGAAGAAGAAGAAGAAGAAGAAGAAGAAGAAGAAGAAGAAGAAGAAGAAGAAGAAGAAGAAGAAGAAGAAGAAGAAGAAGAAGAAGAAGAAGAAGAAGAAGAAGAAGAAGAAGAAGAAGAAGAGGGAGAAGAGGGAGAAGAGGGAGAAGAAGGAGAAGAAGAAGAAGAGGGAGAAGAGGGAGAAGAGGGAGAAGAAGGAGAAGAAGAAGAAGAAGAAGAAGAAGAAGAAGAAGAAGAAGAAGAAGAAGAAGAAGAAGAAGGAGAAGGAGAAGAAGAAGGAGAAGAAGGAGAAGGAGAAGAAGGAGAAGGAGAAGAAGAAGAAGAAGAAGAAGAAGAAGAAGAAGAAGAAGAAGAAGAAGAAGAAGAAGAAGAAGAAGAAGAAGAAGAAGAAGAAGAAGAAGAAGAAGAAGAAGAAGAAGAAGAAGAAGAAGAAGAAGAAGAAGAAGAAGAAGAGGGAGAAGAGGGAGAAGAGGGAGAAGAAGGAGAAGAAGAAGAAGAGGGAGAAGAGGGAGAAGAGGGAGAAGAAGGAGAAGAAGAAGAAGAAGAAGAAGAAGAAGGAGAAGAAGAAGAAGAAGAAGGAGAAGGAGAAGAAGAAGGAGAAGAAGGAGAAGGAGAAGAAGAAGAAGGAGAAGGAGAAGAAGAAGAAGAAGAAGAAGAAGAAGAAGAAGAAGAAGAAGAAGAAGAAGAAGAAGAAGAAGAAGAAGAAGAAGAAGAAGAAGAAGAAGAAGAAGAAGAAGAAGAAGAAGAAGAAGAAGAAGAAGAAGAAGAAGAAGAAGGAGAAGAAGAAGAAGAAGAAGGAGAAGGAGAAGAAGAAGAAGAAGGAACAGAGTGGGAGACGGACGACGTGGAAGACGCAGACCGACTATAGGACAATCAAAGAAGAAGGACGAAGCACAATATGCACTGGGTTCACGTATGGCGCGAGAGAGACGACAGAGTTCAACGAGGACATTGGCGTTGTACTACGTCCGACGTGCCAAAATTGCTGCAGATTGCAATAGATATAATTTTTTATGTATTGAAAGCGTCATTCACACGTCGCAGATTATTCGGCAGATTACCAGTAGTCGGAGCCGTCACTCGTTGCATATTGATCTGATTGTTATGGTCCTAGGGCTGAGGAAACTTACTGTATAAACGTCGGGGTTAACCACCTCAATGTCGCGTTCTGTCTGGTGGGGCGAGGACCGCAAACCCATCAAGTGGTTTAACTGTCAGCAATCTCTTCTCTCCTGTCGCAGTTCGTATCGTCATTCTTCACATCTCACTAGAAGGCAAAGCAAGCACACGATGGATACTACGAATGATACTCCACTACTGGAAGACGTGTTGAGGATGAATGGTCAAGGAACACCTCTATTAATACGACACGATCCTGGAACTCATGGTTGACGCGGAAGAGAATCCGCCAGTCATCTTTGGCTGAACGTGGAAAGCTTTGTTCAGGCGATTCAGACGGCACACGCGCGAGGTGTCGTGGGTCTACTAGATGGTCCGCTCGCTCTCCCTGCTGCAGTGAACGTACAAAAATTCAAGGAAGCCGTGCTAGAGTATGTGCGCATTCCAGAAGCCCCCGCTCCTCTTCGGACCACGTGTCTCCCTTGCGCGTTGGCGCAGAGCATCTGCGTGGCAGGGGACCTGAGCAGGCTGGACATGGACCCATGGACCCAGCGCATCGTCGCCAGTGTTGCAGGGCCAACTGCGGTCCCAATCGCACGCGTCTACGTGCCACAGCCTGCCTCAAATACACTCGACAGAGCCACAAAACAACGGTTGGATAGCCTATGGGGGTAGCGCCACTGCCAGTGCTGAGTGAAAAGACATGTTGAAACACGGTTGTACCGTACTAAATCCAATCCAATGCCATTTATTTATTGTTTATATTCGTTCCCCCCATAGAATTATACAAAAGGGTCCTTGGGCGTCAGTGACAGCTTGACTCTGTCCTTGAGCAGTCCCCAGGGCGTCATGGTCACAAATTCCTCGGCCGCAGTGGGGTGGATCGCGACGATGTTGTCAAACTTGGCCTTGGTCGCGTTCATCTTGATCGCGATGCCAAAGCCATGCACCATCTCGTCCGCCCCTTCGCCCGCGACGTGGAGCCCCACGACAACCTCTTCCTCACCCATACAGACAAGTTTCATCGCAGTCTTGCGCTTGTGCTCCAATGCCGCCATCGCATGGCGCAGATTCACAAACTTGGACATGTACAATTTGACATTCGCGGCGCCAAACTTGGCAATCGCCGCTGGCTCCGTGTACCCGATCGTCCCGATTGGCAGGTGACTGAACACGACGGTCGGGATCTGGTGGTAATGTAGACAAGGCTCTGGTTCATTATTGAACAATCAGTCGGCGAGGCGACGCCCCACGGCGATTGCGACGGGCATGAGCTCCCACCCAGTGGTGGTCACGTCGCCCAGCGCATAAACCCTAGGGACAGACGTGTTCTCCTGTGGATCGACCTCGATATGCCCCGTCGCGGACACCGGGAGCGCTACTTTCTGCTGGTCGTCAACGACTACACGTGCTGCACCGCGGTGTTTCCCTTGGATCCGCGCTGTTCGCCGCCAGCTGAGCGCACATTTCCCTCAGGACCTCCCGATGCTCCGTTTGCACTCTGACCGTGGAGGTAAGTTTTCCTCTGGTCTCCTTGAGGACTTTTGTCGTGAGGAGGGCATTGTCCAGTCGCTCAGGATTTCGGCTTCTCCACAGCATAATGGGATCGCTGAGCGCCGCATTGGCTTGATCATGGATGTTGCTCGCACCTCCATGATCCATGCGGCTGCTCCCCATTTTATGTGGCCGTTTGCGGTCCGATACGCCGCACATCAGCTCAACCTCTGGCCCTATGTCTCCGAGCCAGAGACCTCGCCCACAAGCCCGGCTGGGGGGGGTGACCCTGCTGCTGACGACACTGCGGCCTCTCGCCGCTCCCCGCGCGTGGAGACCCCTTCCTGGCTTTCCGCCTTGGCTGCCTTCGCCACTTCTGCACCCTGTCGTTGTGGACTCCGGTGCTGCTGGGGTTGGTGACGCTCGAGGTGCGGGCTCTGGGGGTGCTGGGACTGGGGGTGCTGACGCTGGGGGTGCTGGTTCTGGGGGTGCTGGTTCTGGAGGTGCTGGAGCCAGCAGTGCTGGAGGTGCTCCCGCTACATGTACTGGAGTTGGGGGTGGACAACGTCAGCAGTTTCCGCAGGCTACTCTCTCGCTGCAGCAGCTCCGTGCGTGGGTATCCCGGCGCGGTGCTGAGCCTGGAGGTGCTGGTTCTGGGGGTGCTGAGCCTGGGGGTACTGACTGGAGGTGCTGAGCCTGGGGGTGCTGACGCTGGAGTTGGAGGCGCTAGAGGTTTTAGAGTTGGAGGTACTGGAGATGGAGGTTCTGGTGCTGGAGGTACTGGAGCTGGCGGTGCTGGAGGTTCTGGAGCTGGAGGTACTGTCGCTGGAGGTGCTGGAGCTCAAGGTGCTGGAGCTGGCGGTGCTGGAGGTACTGGAGCGGGAGGTACTGGAGCTGGGGGTGCTGTGCAGCGGCGACCGTTCTTCATGGACCAGCCGCAGTCGTCACTGTCACCACCTGGCTCGGCACTTCGCCAGGTTCTTAATCTTCTGTCTTCCACTGGTGTTACTCCTCCTCTACTGTGTCCACCGACTGACCCATCCAGGACACAGTTACAGCCCGACTCCCCACTGCCTGCTCCTTCACCACCTCCTGGTTTTCCGCCTCGGCCGTCTTCACCACATCTGCAGCCTGTCGCTGTGGACTCTGGTGCTGCTGGGGGTGGTGATACTGGAGGTGCGGGCTCGAGGGGTGCTGGTTCTGGGGGTGCTGACTCTCGACGTGCTGGTTCTGGGAGTGCTGAGCGTCCTAGTGGTGGTGGAGTCGAGGGTGCGTCTGCTGGAGGTTCTGCAGGTGCGTTGCAGCCCCGGCCGCGGCGCCCCTTCGTCTGGGAGCAGCAGTCGTCGCTGCCACTTCCTGAGTCTGTTGCTGGAGGTTCTGGTGCTGTAGGTCCTAGAGATGGAGGTACTGGAGCTGGCGGCGCTGGAGGTTCTGGTACTGGAGGTATTGCCGCTGGAGGTGCTGGATGTTTTAGTGCTGGAGGTACTGGAGCTGGAGGTGCTGGAGCTGGCGGTGTTGGCATTTCTGGTGCTGGAGGTACTTCTGCTGGAGGTGCTGCAAGTTCTGGTGCTGGTGGTACTGGAGCTGGAGGTGCTGGAGCTGGCGGTGCTGGAGGTTCTAGGGCTGGAGGGACTGCCGCTGGAGGTGATGGATTTTCTGGTACTGGAGGTACCGGAGCTGGGGGTGATGCGCAGCCACGGCAGCCGCAGTCTTCACTGCCGCACCTGGCTGTACGCATCACCTTGTTTGCACAAGGTTTGTAGCGACTTCCTCGTCGTCGACCACTGCGGGCTCAACGAGAAAGGTTACACACTTACCTTCTTTGATGCAGGCACTCGCTACGCCTGAATCGCCAACGTTCAATTCCGCACCAGGGCATACAAGGTATTCCGCCTCTGGCAGGCTCACGCGCAACGACAGTCGCTGGCAGACAGACGGCACAGCAGAGTTTCGAAGCAAGGAGCTACAAGATACCTCTGGCAAAAGAGAATCGTGCAACACATTTCGCTCCGCTCCGCACATCCCCTGCAAGGAGTCGCCGAGCGTACCAATCGCACTCTCATGACGAAATTGCGTGCACTGCTGAAGCAGTCAAAGCTCCTCGCTACCTACTGGCCGTACGCAATGCACCACTCCGTACGCCTACACAACCTGCTTTCCACCACAGCGATCGCCGGCAACTCGTCACCGCTTATGAAGTGGATGGGCAAGAAGGGTGACACCTCCATGCTCCGTGTGTGGGGCTGTGCGGTGCAGTATAGGGCCCCTACCTCAACTGTCGGCAAGTCCAGGAGCCTCGTGCGATGGTCATTCATCTCGTCATCAGCTAGAGTACAAGGCATGGATCATCCTCGACCCACTGAGCAACAAAATCACACATGCGCGCGACGTAATTTTCTACGAAAGGCTCACCTTCGCGTAATTGCGCGCGGATCAGCAAGCGGGCACAGTTCTGGCGTAAGCAGGCACAGTTCTGGTGTACGTGAGGACGCGGACGATTCTCGATCAGGACACCTTCAGCGAATACCCTGACCTCGACCCGCGTTCCGACGACGACGACGGGTCGCCACCTGGACCCTCACGAGACAGTCGCAGGGACCCTACGCCACCAGCCCCACCTGAGCCAGAGTGCGACGACAACGACGTAAAAAGAGGTCGTTCCCTAACACCGCCACGACACCACGATATATCGGTTGCAGCTCCTGGGGCTTCACACCGCAGCCTCTTCGGCCCCGTGCATCCTCGAGCCGAAAATTTTGCGACAGGCCCTGACGAGACCTGACAGCAAGGAGTGGCGCGCGGCGATGGATGCAGAGATAAGGGCGCTTGAATCGCGCGACACTTGGGTGCTTGTCGATCGATGAGCAATCAAAGGTAGGCGCGTGCTTTCGGACAAATGGGTGTTCCGCCTGAAAACCGCGGCTGACGGCAATATCGAGTGCTTCAAGGCGCACTGGGTCGTGTGAGGGTACGACCAATGCCACGGCTTCAATTTGGATCAGAATTTTGCCCTTGTCAACCGCCATAACTCCGTTCGCATCCTGCTGGCCATCGCTGCAGCAAGGCACCTGCCGCCCCGAAAAATTGACGTGAAGAACGCATTATTGTATTCGTTAGCGGATGTAGTCGTTTTTGTGGAACAACCACACACCTATGGGTATGCCAGCTCAAGAAGTCCCTGTACGGGATCAAGTAGGCACCAAGGCTGTGGCAGCAGCACCCGCACACCACACTGCTTGATATGTTCTTCACGCAGCTGCCGCATGATCCCGAGAAGTACCGCCTGCAATTTTGCAGGGATTACATAAAACGTGGGGCATCGTTTGGTAAACCATGAGCTCGTGGATGAGCCATAGCCCCCACGCAAACCTCCAGATTATGAATGTCTAAGTGAGTAGAACAACATCCATCCAGCATCTGGTATCCTCCATCGGCACATAGTAGCGGGTAGCCTAGTACCTGGGATCGTGATGCTAGTAACCAGGCGAGCGAGAGTAATAAGAGGAGAAGCACGGACGTCACTAGCACGCCTAGCGGTCGACGAACAGCTCTCCACCGTTGCAAACTGACTTCGAACATTCTAGCTAGCACTGCTATTTAGGAGCTGCGGGTGAATGCTCGTGAAGCCGAGCAGCCGAGTTGTGTGCTACTGAATCCGCCGTTTTTCGATTTACGTGGACGACTTAGGACGTGTCACGGTTCGCCTCTGATTGCCCCGATCAGATATGGTCATTAACTTCCAGGAAGCTAGGGTAGCGATTTCAGGCAATTGGGGGCAATCACTTGATCGCGATCAGTTGATCGCCCCAACTCGATCAACCGCCTAAACAGCCCAATCAAACACAATCTCACACAATCACCGACGGTCAGTTGATTGCGTTGGTTTGGGGTACCAAACGACGCCAACGAGAATTTACGATGTTGTGATGGGTTTCGTGAAGCCCTCGCTCAAAAAGCCACCCTGGGTTTCTGGGCACCTGTATACGCGAAATTATCACCTCGCTAGTGTCGGACTCCATCCTCCGTTCCCTTGCTCTCGCACACCTTGCTCTTCTCCTTCTCCTGCTCCCACTCTTCTGCCTCCCTCTTCCTCTCATTCACTCCTGCTTGCTCCTCCTCTCATCTCTTTCTCTCTCTTCCCGCTCGTTGCTCACTCTGTTACTTCCCGAAGATGCCTTCCA